TGAAAATAATATTAAGGTTACAGTTCAAGTTTTTGTGCTTGAAGTTTTTTGTTTTTGTTTTTGTAGGGTAAAATAATAATTATTTATTTAATATAGTATAATTTTAAAATCATATACAAAATACAATTGATTTTATATGAGTTGTTTATAATATTATATTGTAATATTGACAAAGTAATTTTTTTTGTTTATTTTATGAAATATTGGGTAATTTAATTCTAATGTAAATTAGTTTAAAAATTAAATATATATGAGCAATCTGGATAGAAATACGAAATCGCTCTTTATATTTTCTATAACCCATAATTAATAATAATATAATATGATCTTAAAATTCAAAAAAATATAAGGAGTATATTTTGATTAAATTATTAAGTATCTAATGCATTACGATAATAATAATGTTTTTTTACTACATCCTCTGTTTCATAATTAGTTTTTTTTAAAAGTTTTGTTTTGTTTCACAATATAGTTATTTTCACTTTTTTTACTACTTCCTATGAATACTATGTGACCGATTATATTTTTCAATTTTTCATAATTAGTTGAATTATATTTAATTTATATACTAAATGATTACTTTTTTTAAAGAAAAGTTGCTTTTTAATCTTTGTGCTTTGATGCAAAAGAACTTATATTTTAAAATAAAGAGTATTAAAATTGTAAAAAATAAAATAAGATTTTAAAATTGATTTTAATATTTCTTATACGAATGTAAATGCATATTTAGATTAATCTGTAAAAACTATAGTCATGAGAATATTAACTTTTAAGAAAAGAAAATTACTGTGAAATTTATTTTAAATATTAAATATACATAAAGATTATATAAAATTAGATTATAATTTTTTATTATTTTTAATAAATCATCTAAAATTATATATAACTGAGTCAATACTTATATATTCTTAACTTTTTGATTCAATAAAAATATTTTTTATTATCAAAAATTTTAATAATTATTATATAATATACTTACAAAGATATTTTAATTTTTTACCAAGTTATTTTGTTGTATAAATTAAAAATTTATGATATTTAACTTTTTAATCAAATAAAATATTTATAATATTATATTCTATTAACATATTCAATTATTTTTTTATAGTTCAACTTTTTATTAATATTTTGCACTTATTATAAAGTTTAAATATTTATATTATTTGGTTAATTTATATGGTTCTAAAACCATATGAAACCAAAAATAATTATAATAATAATATCTATTAAATTAAGCTTTTTTATCATTTATGTATTTTTATATTGATTTATGAATCATCTATCTACATATCCTTATTTTCAATTTTAGTCTTATAAAACATACTTTTATTTATTAATCATTTGAGTAATTTATATATTTTTTTATGAAATTTGAATGATAACACAGAAAATATATAACTATATGAATGATGTGACGATTTATTTTTCTACAAAAATAAAAGATAAAATATAGTATTTAAAGAAATAATTAATATGATATATTTTTGGTAAGAAATGGAAATAAAGAATATTTTGATGAATCATCATCAATATAATTATTATAAACTAATGTATAACTAAATTAATGTGAGTGACATAACATGTAATTAATTTAATAACATAAGTCTATTTTTATAACTTTGCTGAAAATGATTATGGTGATGACACATCAGCAAAATGGCACCACTGTAATATTTTACAAAATTAAGGTTATTCTTTAAAAATGTTTCTCTTTTAATATATAGGGGATACATGGGCTAAAGCAGCCTTAGCTAAAGCATCAGCTTTAACACTGTTCTTGCACGAAATAAAATAAAAGGACAAAACTGAAAAATTAGTTGCCAACAGTCTAATATCTTCTAGAAGCCCCCTCAAAGCAATGGTGGACGATCCCAAAGTGAGGAGTGAGACTAACACCTTGCAATCCGAAAAGACGTTGAGCTCTTGGATTCCTAAAGAAACTGCGTCCGAAAGTGCAACCTTCATCGCTATAGTCTCCGCCAATAAAGTCGAGCCTACAAAACGTTGGTGCGTCGAGTTTTGTGCAAAGGTAACACCATTTGCATCGGTAAAGAGCCATCCCATTCCGCCAATACCGGAGCACTCTAACCATGCTGCATCCACGAAACAGCTGGTAGTGTCAGGGGTAGGGGAATGTTCACTGATGGAGGGGAGAGGGACCCGTGGTTTCTTCTTGTAAGTCTGAGATTAAAACCATGAGATAGCATCCGCTTGAGCTTTCCTGCCTGTTTCCTCTTCTGAGAACCGTTTGCTTTCAAAGACAAGCTGGTTCCTGGCTTTCCACAAACCCCAAAAAATCCAAAGATACAGAGGACCAGAAGATACTCCCGAAGGAGGGAGGTTGGTGATTTTACGGGCAGTCGACAAGAGGAGAGACGAGGAGGTAATGGCTGACATTTCAAGGAGGAAACAAACAGGCGCCATATCCCAAATCTTCATAGCAAAGGGGCAATGAAAGAGAACATGCGTAGCCGTCTCAGGGGCTCCACATCTGATACATACCAATCCCACAGAGAGCCTGCGCCTAGCCAGTACATCACCACATGGGAGCGAGTTGGTAGCCACTTTCCAAAGGAAATGTTTGATCTTTGGAGAAGTCTTCACTTGCCAAATGCATCTTTTCCAATCGAGTACTGGTAGTAGAGCTGAAGAGTTGTTTACCTTAGCCATATGTTACCCCGATTTAGTTGAATAGATCCCTGATTTTTCAGGTAACCATACTAGCTTATCCTCTCCCTTTGAGGAAGGAGGGATGAGCTTTCTGATTTGTCTCTTATACTGAGGTAAATGGTGACGAATGGCCAAGGTATTCCAAGAGTTTGTAATCGGGCAGAGGAGGTCACTCACTTTCAGATTCACATTAGAAGCTGTTGAAGGGCCTATGGGGGTTTCAGAAGATGAGACTGAGAGCCACGGTTCCCGCCAAACACTGATTAGCCGACCATCTCCAATACTCCACCCCAACCCTTTCTTTAATATTTCTCTGCCTGCCAAAATGCTCCTCCAACCATGCGATGAAGTCGAGAGGGGATAACAGTTCAGGAAGTCTGAAGATTGACAGTACTTCCCAAGTAAGACTCGGGATATGAGAGAGTCAGGCTGGTTCATCAGACGCCAACCAAGTTTGGCTAACAGGGCATCATTAAAGTTTTCAATCTCTCAAAAAGCCAAACCTCCTGCTTCTTTTGGAAGGGTTAACCTATACCAAGACACCCACGCCATTTTCTGCACATCTGGTTTGATATCCTAGAAGAAGCGAGTGAGGAGTGATTGAAGTTGCTTACAGATGGATGTTGGCAGCTTGAAGCAGGAAATTGAAAACGATGGCATTGAAGAAAGGACCGACTTCAGGAGCACTTGCTTTCCGGGTCCCGAGAGGAATCCCGAAGTCCAGCTATGTGATCGCTGGCGGATTCTATCCACCAAGGAGGAGAAAATATCATTTTTCCGCCTTCCAAAGTGCTCCAGGAGTCCTAAGTATTTGCCTAATCCTCTATCCTTTTCTATTAACAGAGTTTGCTTCATCCGGCGCTTAGTTTCTTGAGGCGTTTTCGCTGAAAACGTGATTGTAGATTTCTCTAGGTTGATTTATTGTCCTGAGGCCTGCTCATAACGTTTTAGAATAGAGAGGAGGGCTTCACAGCTAGAGGGGCTCGTCTTACAGAAAAACATAGTGTCATCTGCGAAGAGCAGATGATTGACCGGCGCACTATCCCTTGCTAACTTGATGCCCGGAAGATGTCCTTGTAGCTGTGCCTTTGAGCAGAGACCCGAGAGCATCTTGGTACAGAGGATAAATAAATAGGGAGAGAGAGCGGATCTCCTTGCCACAGCCCCCTTGTGGGGATAATTTTTCCTTGCGGGACACCATTGATGAGAAAGGAGTATAAGACACACACATTCCATGCCCCAAGCTATCCACATCGGGTGGAAACCAAGCCTCGACAGAACCCCACGAAGAAAACTCCATTCGATACGGTTATATGCCTTGCTCATGTCCGTTTTAACCGCCATTGAACAATGCGCCTTTGCCTTGAAGTGCATAGGAAGTGGAGAATCTCATGGGTTATCAGCACGTTGTCGGATATAGCTCTCCCTGGTACAAAGGCCGACTGATTACTGGAGACTAGGCTTGGGAGGTGAGGCTGGAGATGACTGGTGAGGAGCTTTGCAATAATCTTGTAGTGCACATTGCAGAGCGTAATGGGTCTATAATCTGAGACCTTCCTAGGAGCGTCAATCTTTGGAATCAGGCGGATATGGGTTTCATTCTGACGGTGTAAGATGGAGCCTGAGCCAAAAAAGGTTGAGACATACGTGCTACTTCTTCCCCAACAATGTCCCAATATCCGTGATAAAACCGTGCTGAGAAACCGTCCGGTCCTGGTGCTTTGTTGGCATGGATGGCTAAAGTAGCTGCTCTGATTTCCTCGGGAGAAGGGGGGGCGAATAAGCGCCTCATTCATAGCTCGAGTGACACAAGGAGAGAGGGCTTCCTCAATTATTTCCACTCCCGCCGTCCCTTTCGAGGAGAAGATATCCTGGAAGTAATCGGCAATAGTTTTGGAAATCTGATTCTCCTCATGCACTCCTGTCGAATCCTCAATAATATATAAGGGATACTATTTTTCAAATTGTGTATCAAATTTAAACTAACTACATAAATCTCCCAACCTAGTGGTCGAGTTCCTTTATGTTTGAATGTCAGAAACAATCAAATTAACGATAGTTATTTGTATTAATTAAGTTATGTGTCATTAACTCATTATATCATAAGGGTTTAACATGGTAGAATGCATGTTGTTGACAAAGAAAGAAAAACCATGTGCCATTTAACAATTTTTGAGTCCTATTATAACATTCTAACAATTCTGAGTCTTATTTTAACATTTGGCATTCCAGCGCGATTGAGTATTATTCTAACATTCTTATACGTCAAACCATGAAGCTTTGTGCATAAAACCAAGAATTCAGCAAACAAGTAATTTGTACATTCACCCAAATAACTAAAGGATTGTGTTCTGATCAGTTCTCAAATCTTGCAAACAGACATTATTAAGAGTTCTCCCATCTCTGTAACTATTGGAGAAGAATAACAATGGCGGATATTTACGAAGTTCCTGTAAAGCTTGAGGTTAGTTTCCACAAAACCCACAACTCAAATCCAAAATCTCTTAAGTGTTTTTCCTCAAATTGATTTTGAAATCTGAATAATAACAAAACACAGGGAAAGCGTAAAGCAATGGTTGTTTCCTGTATTCTTGGGATCGGATCTTTCGTTGCTTGGAACAGTCTGCTTACTATTGGAGATTACTACTACCAAGTTTTCCCGGTTCGGTTCCATTTGCACAATTCTCAGATTCGAAATTGCTTTTGAAATGTTTTGATTATATAAAATGATGTTTCTTGTCATCAGAAACATATTTCCTCAAATATTTACAATTGGCAGATTTATTTTCTAACTATCAATGTTGATTTCGTAAATTTAGGTATGAAACAAATCAATGTTAATTAGCATAACAGAAATGTTAACATATATTTTCTTATGAGGTTAATTTTGTGAAGTCGACCCAAACTTGAGTAATTAAATTGTCAACTTAAAAGTTGGATCATGTAATTCCCTAAATTATTATAATTTTGCAGATTAGTTCTCCAACTGTTAAGTTGACAAATTGAATCCTCGAATTTGTGTTAACTTCACAGAATTAGGCGCATAATCAAGGCCAACGTCTCCAGTTTTTAAATTAATGTTGATTTTTCTCATACCACAATAATTAGAGAATTAAATTATCAATTATAAATACTTAAAGAGTTAAATAAATATTTTTCCTTTCTTGTCATTATAGGATTACCATCCTTCAAGAGTACTCACATTTGTATACCAACCATTTGCGCTTGGAACAATCGTGATTCTTGCATACCACGAATCAAAAATCAACACTCGAACACGTAACCTGATCGGTTACAGTCTATTCACAATATCCACATTCTTGCTCATCGTCGTAAGTTCAAGTCTAGTCTAACAGAAATCTCTCTTGTCCTTTTTTTTGGTAAACCGGATTCGGATAATGAACACTAACCCTAACAATAAACCCCTGTAACAGTTGGATTTGGCTACAAAAGGACACGGTGGGATCGGACCTTATATCGGTATATGCGCAATCATCGCTTTGTTTGGTATTGCGGATGCTGTAGTACGAGGAGGAATGCTTGGAGACTTGTCCTTGATGAGCCCTGGACTCATCCAGGTTTATACACTTGACAAATTCAAGATCTCGGTTTAGATTAACCGGTATATAGTAAACTGATCTTTCTTTGTTTTTTGGTAGTCCTTCACGGCTGGTATGGCTGTAGCTGGTGCTCTAACGTCAATATTTAGGCTAATAACTAAAGCAGCCTTCGAGAAATCGCATGACGGTCTACGAAAAGGAGCAAGTGAGTTTAACATTTTCTAAAGATCTTAATTCCGATAGCATATAAGTCTTAATTCCGATAGCGTAAAAGTGTTATAAACTTCATTTCTGGCTTACTTATTTCTTTGTTTACTTATTTCTGCAGTGATCTTTTTAGCAATCTCCACATTCATAGAGTTACTATGCGTGTTGCTATATGCGTACGTGTTCCCGAAACTCCCAATCGTTAAGTATTATCGAGGAAAAGCCGCTTCTCAAGGATCCAAAACTGTTTCTGGTGATCTTGCTGCTGGTAGTATCCAAAATCAACCAGCTTCGGTAATTTCAGACTCCTCAATAATCTTTCCCTGGTTTCTTTTCCAGATTCTTCAAGAATCTTACCTTTTTTGTTTCATTTTACATCAAGATTCCTTGTTTTTTGATTTTTTTTTCCCAAGATTCCCTCGCTCTTAAACATTGTTTACTAGTAATTTTTTTATTTGTATACCAACGAATTAATTACGATCTTTTCGTCGCTAAACAAAACAAATCATGAGAAAACTACAGAAAACCACGAAAAAATCATAGTTAATCTGTGTTTATATAAGCTTCTATCAGGACCGGCTCATAGGCTAAGCCACCCAAGCAAAGAATTAGGACAGCAATATTTTAAGGACATCATTTTAAAATATGTTCATTATTAAGATTGGTTATTTAGAGATATTTTTTTAAAATATTTTATCTATTAGGATTAGTTCTCTATTAATGTGATAATATATAAATAAAATTTTAATTTTCTTATAATATTAATGTTTATTAAGTTTTTGTTAGCAATTTTATGGGTTTTTATTAATAATTATACTAATTAAGTTTAGTATTATGTTTATTAATTAAATTCCGAAAATGAAAGATTATTATATAAACATGAGTATCAATACCAAATATTAATACCAGAAAAAAATGAAGGGACCTAATTAAAAAATATTTGTGATGTGCGGTATCAAAAAAAAAACTGAATGAATTAGTTTGTTATTGATTAAGATAAGTATGATTGAAAAACTTGATTATGTGAGTTTAATCAATGATTTTGCAAAAAAATGTAAATAATACTATTTTTTTTTGTTAACATAATTTTTTTTACTGTTTTTTTTTATAAATTATTTATGAATTAAAATTGTTTTTTTGGAATGAAGTTTTAACTATAGTTTTTTTTTCTTTTCTAGTTTTCGTAATATAAAATACAATATATGAAAATGCATAATTTTAAATTTACATAGGATATGAAAAATTATTAGACCGGCACTGACTTTTATAACTATAAAAACATAGAAAAGTATAAAAAAATCATAAAATAACCTATATAGCAACGGAAAAAAAAAATTCATAACTTTTTTCTGACTAATTTTTTTTGTGTCTTTTTTTTGTCAAACATTTTTTTTCATTTAATCTTCCGGAATACAACAGAAGGAATTAAACATCCTCTTTGATCAAAATACAATTTAGAAACGCGACTTTTCTGTGTTTATATAAGTTTTTAATGACTTGTTCGTGACTTTTCCACGGGATTCTGTGTTTTTCAATGGTTAATCTGTGGCTATAGAAATATCTTTTACTAGTAATATGATGATGATTCTTCTATATATTGTAGACTGATGATGATTCAAAGAAACAAAGGCTACAAAAAAGAGAGCTATTGCTTCAAAACGTAGACTATGCAGCGAATCTATTCCTCATCTATGTTTTGACACTATCCATTTTGCCCGGGTTCTTATACGAGAACACTGGACAACACGGGCTAGGTGTGTGGTACGCGCTTGTCCTAATATCGATTTACAATTGGTCGGACTTGATCGGGAGGTACGCACCGATGGTGAAATGGCTCAAGATTGAGAATAGAAAAGGACTAACGGTTGCAGTTTTGGTCCGTTATTTACTCGTTCCAGCGTTATACTTCACCGCAAAACATGGCGATAAAGGATGGATGATTATGCTCATTTCTATTTTGGGACTGACTAATGGACATCTTACTGTTTGCATTCTCATCACAGCTCCTAAAGAATACACGGTAATATTCTTTCTAATCTTTCTACATATTTGATTCTTGAATTACAATATCTACTTTATTTATTCTTAAGGCGTTCTTCTGAAAACTATAAATGTAAAATGTTGTGGTTTCATTCATGAATTAACCCAATAATGTCAAAATAAACATAAACTATCAATTTGCCCAAAAAAAAAAAAAAAAAAAAAAAACATAAACTATCAAATGCAACGCAAAAAGTAATTATCTTATAGCATTTGCTTTCATGCAAACACAATTGTACATAACATACCCAACCTTTGCCTAAAATATTCTGATTTTGCATAAAACCTCATGTTTTGCTTTTGTGAAGGGTCCCGAAAAGAATGCGTTAGGGAACTTGCTGGTGATTTTTGTATTAGGAGGAGCGTTTGCAGGATCTGGTCTTGGTTGGTTATGGCTTATTGGAAAGGAAAATGCCTTCTGAGTTCTCATTTAATTGGAAACTACTTTCTTTCTTAAGGGTCATTGATAGATGGATTATTTCTTCAAAATAAATAAATAAATTTCAATGTTGTTAATTTATAAACTGATGTATTCTTACTAAAAGGTAATGTTATTGTTTGATGACTTTTAAATTCCATTTAATATCTTATGTTATTCAAAAAGTTTAGCTATCATTGATTTTTTAGTTATATTAAACTAGAGATATTTCCGCGCTATGCGCAAATTATTTTTATAAATATTTAGTTATTATTTAAATTAAATTATTTTACCTTTAAATCATTATTTTAAATATAATTTTTGATTTTCAATATCGTTTTGATGTCTTTATACATTTAAAATATTTTAATGTATTGAAAAATATACTATAATTTAATTTAAGAATTTACTAACTTGAAAATTAACTGTTAATTTAAACTTATTGGTGTTCACTAACTTTTAAACTATTATTTAAAATATTTTTGTTTTAACTAAATTTAATATATAATTAAACTCAACAACTATACAATTTTTCTTTATTTAACTTAAAGCAGTTTTTCATTTAAATTTTTTTTTACTAAACATATAACTACAACTGAAGCACCTGATTATTGTTCCAATTAATTTTGATTTCTTTTAATTTCAATTGTGTCGGTGTAGTGTTTTTATTTCATTAGCAGTCTTAAATACAAAACAACAATCAATGTTTAAAACTCTTACAAATCCGTTAAAGAACTATTGTTCATATAATAAAACAACATTTACATATTATATTGAACAAATCAAGTATATAAGTGTAGATGAATAAAGCAAGTAATAAATATACAAATACAACTTCATTCTAACTCATTCAATTGAACAAAGTATGTCGAGTGTCTCAAAATTCAAAAGGTATAAAATGTTTATTTGCATTTGTTTGTAATGTAACTTAGATATTTTTCTTACACTACATATATATTTTGCTAAACCTTTATACTTAAATTAATAATATATATTATATTATTTTAAAAAAGTTTCTTAACCAAAAAATAAACCATGTTAGTTTTTCTCACATGTTGAGTTTGTAAAAAACATCTTCTTTGTTGATGTGGATGGTCAAAGATGTTTTTGTGACATTTTATTTTACATAAAAATGTATATACTATTTTAAAATAAGGAAGTGTAATATATTGATGTTTAATATAAAATTAAGCAAGTCTATTTTTTCATATGCATGATTATAACGATGATTTAGTATACTATAATTAATTTAATTTATGCCTAAAGTATTTACATATTATACAAAATCACAATCATATTGATAAGCTGCAATTTTACTTTTTATAATAAGTAATATATTCATAGTCTTATAAGTTTATCTTTGTAGTACAATAGACAATTTTGTATCCACGTATGTGAAATACAGTTGTGTTATTTCAGAATTTTATTTATTTATTTGATATGTATGTAATCTTTATGTTTCTAAAAGATGAACGTTTTAGAATTTTCTAAATTGTGAATGTTTAAAAAATATTTTTTTAGAAATTACTATTTTGTAACCTTCTATCTATTAACTATTATTTAAGTATTTTTAGAGCAATTTCTTTTCCAAAATACTCATTATTTTAGAAAGAAAAAGAGTATATATTAATGCTATAGAATTAAATAATAATTATTTTACTGATTCAAAAATAATATTTTATTTTTAGTTAGTTTTTGTAGATAACGATATTAGTTTTAGTGGTTCTATTTATTTATTTTATATGTATTTTGAAAAAAAAATCTAAAGTGAGTTTTTTTATTAATGCTTTCTTGGTTATGTGGCAAAAGGAGAAAGTGGTTTTATAAATCTGATGTGGATGGCTTTAGAAGCCTCAAACTTCTCCTTTTATTTATAATCATAAAGTCTTATAAGTTTATCTTTGTAGTACAATAGAAAATTTTGTATCCACGTATGTGAAATACAATTGTGTTAATTTTAAAATTTTATTTATCTATATGTTATGTATGTAATCTTTATGTTTCTAAAAGATGAACGTTTTAGAATTTTCTAAATTGTGAATCTTTAAAACATTTTTTTTAGAAATTACTATTTTGTAACCTTCTATCTATTAACTATTATTTAAGTTTTTTTTGGAGAAATTTCTTTTCCAAAATACTCATTATTTTAGAAAAAGTATATATTAATGCTATAAAATTAAATAATAATTATTTTACTGATTCAAAAATAATATTTTATTTTATTTAGTTTTTATAGATAACGATATTAGTTTTAGTGGTTCTATTTATTTATTTTATATGTATTTTGAAAAAAAATCTAAAGTGAGTTTTTTTATTAATGATTTCTTGGTGATATGGCAAAAGGAGAAAGTGGTTTTAAAAATCTGATGTGGATGGCTTTAGGAGCCTCAAACTTCTCCTTTCATTTAGTATAGATGATTATTTCATAGAAAATATATGTTTTTATGATTTGTAAAATGAGTATTTATTTTATATGAATGATTTTACAGTAGTTTTATACATAAATCTTTCTAAGGTTTGTTTTTAATAAAATGTTTTGAGAATTATTTTTTTTGTTATTTATTAAGTCATCTTTTGTATGTGATTGCTTTCCAAATTCGTTTTTCATATACAAAGAACATATGTTGTAATTATTATGACTTGTAAAGTAAGTATTTACTTTAATTTCAAAGTTATCATACTAAAAGCCCAAAAATAATTATCCAAAATATAAAAAGTTGAAAACAAAACTCAAAATATTTAAAAGCCCATTTTAAAATAAAAATTTTGTTGATGAGGACACCTTAGATGGAAAATTAACTTGCTCATTATATATACTAGGTATATAACTCGTGCTACGCGCGAGTCTGTATTAATATTTTGGTTTATTTTTTTAGCTACTATCTTTAAAATTATTAAAAATTATAGAAAATTATAGAAATTTTCATTTATATAAGAGAATTTAATATATAATGTGTAATTTATCCTATTTTTCTTTATAATTTAAAACTCTATTAGGTAAAATAATAACAATGACACCTATCGAATTATCCTACTTTAATGTACATATACATTTGATTTAGAAAAATATAACCTTGCTAAGATTTTGAAATTATTTTCTGTTTTCCATAGAATTTCTATAGTTCTTTTTTTCTTGAAGGTTTATGTGTTCAAATATTTAGTTTTTTTATTGAAAGTCTTATTGATGTTGTGTACCACTGTATATATAATTCATGATTCATGTTGATTCACATTTAATTTTGTTAAGAAGCTGTAATGATCATGCAAAACAATTTTTTCCTTCTCCATCATATCTTCCAAAAGTTTTATGTTATATTTTTATTCAGTTTTCATTGTTTTAATTGTTAAATCGAGTTGTTGTAGATTTTTTTTAATTGATAATTGATAATGATTACTTTTTTTATACATGTATTGTTAATTGTTAATTTTTTTATTTAACTTTTAAAATTTTAAACTATATTAACATTTTCTGATTTAATAAATATGTTGATTTGGATCAATCAGATTGAATTTACTTTTTTTGTTAGACATAATTTATTAAATTAACTTTTAATGTTTTAATTATACTTAATAATTTTTGGTTTGATTTAAAAGCTGATGTGGACCAATTAAATCAAGTTTTTCCGTCCTAATCGTACTTATTATTTTTTTATTTAATGAAGTTGCTGATGTAGACCAATCATATCGAGATTTTTAATCCCATGTGGACGCCCTCAATGCATTATGCCATAAACTTTTATATATTACTAGGCTATTAATAATTTGGTTTATTATTTTTGGCTAATATCTTTTAAATTATCAAAACTATAATATATTTATAGAAAATTTCTTTTATATATAAAAATTAAAACATAATATGTAGTATTTCCTATTTTTGTTTATAAAATTGTAAATCTTATTAAGTAAAATCATAGTAATTACACCTAACGAATTATCCAACTTTGATGTGCATATGTTTGATTTAGAAAATGATTTCCTTAGTAAATGTTTTGTGTTTTGTTTTGTATCCTTAGGATTTCTGTGGTTCTTTTTTTAAAAGGTTTATATGTTTAAATATTTAGTTTCTTTACTAAATGTCTCACTAATGTTGTGTACATATACATATATAATATATGATATATGTTGATTCAAATTTACTTTTGTTAGTAAGCTATACTAATCGTGTAAAACTGCTTTTTGCTTCTCCACGAGATCTTCTCCGAATTTTAGGTTATATCTCTATTCAGTTTATAAGATCTGTTTTATTTGCAGTCAACTATTTGCTAATATTTGTTTTTAAACATGTAAGATGATGTTGAGACTTCACATTATCACTGCTTTTTTTTTTTAATCTTTTGTGTGTTTATACATGTTTTGATTTGAATATTTTATCTTCATATGTTACCATTTGAATTTGATTCATAACTTTGTCATATTATATAATTTAAATAAAATTTTAGAGGATGTTGCTCATGTGTTGTTCATGTTGACTAAGTTATATGCAGTAAATATGTATACAAATCAGAATTTATTACTTATTATATTTTGAATGTAAAGTTACTTGTGTAGTATTTTATATTGCTAATTTTTCAACCAGACGCAACCAAGGTATCAATCTTTGTAAATTTAAATAATATGTTTAATTTAGAAACTTGTATAACCTATTAAAACTGTATATGGTTATTCATAGTTAACACCAATATTTTAGAAATCATAAATATTTTTGAAACTATATTTCAAACTAATTTTCTTCTTAGATCTTTTTTTTTGCTATTTTAAATATCTTCAATGGTAATTTTATATTTTATTTTAATTATCTAATTTTCTGCAGGTTTGATATACTTAAAACATATAAATATTTAATTAATCTCTTTTGTTATTGATTTTCAAATAGATAGCATATATAAGATCTAATCTAATATCTTTTACATAAATGCTTTTTCTTTGTTAAATTTACTTAATAAATAAATTAAAATGCTATTTTGACATGCTATAACTGGTTATTCTAAATTTTAAGTGAACTTCTCTCAAAAGCTTACACCATCATTTGCTTTTTTTAGTTAATATTT